AGCGCTGCCAGGCAGTGAAAAATCCTCTTAAAGGGACCAGCCCTATTTCTTCTCCCCGCAAGCCAGAAGGCCCTGAGCATCCCCAGCACGCAAGCCCGGTATCTGCCAGCCCTGCCTCCGCAGCCCCCCAGCACCCCTCCTTGCTGCCTGCTCCTGTGCACGTATGGGGCAGAGCCCACCGCAGCTCCCTCCGGTGCCACCTCAGCCCAAAACCCCGCAAGCCCAACACCCCTCGAATCTGGTTGTGCCCAGGATGCTCCTGGCCCCCGCTCAGCCCTGCACTGACCTGGGACATGGGCCACGCCCCTGGGGGCACAAACTGGGTGAAACTCAGATTGCAGCACCAAGGACAGCCTGAGAAGCCCCCACCAAGCTTCAAGAGCCAGGGCTGGTGTGGTTACAGCTGGCCACAAAAGGCCGTGATAGGAGGGTGCCCCCCACACAGGGCTTTGCCCTCAGCACATACTCCCCTTTGCTGCTCATCATGGGGGACGTGCCATCCCCCTGCACCTCCACCCTCTGCAGCACCACGCCTGGCTCCATCCTCACTGTTACTCACACCTCTCACCCACCACAGCACTTAGACATGAAAGACATATGGAAATGAGTGGCACTAACAAGAGTATTAATTAAAAAACCATCTGTTGAGCCAAGGAAAGCTTTCCCCTCCCACAGCCAGAGTTGGGCTGGGACAGAGCTTAGGGCAGTGATTTGGCTCCTTCGCAGAGGGATACAGCCAGAGGAGAGGCGGTGGGGCAGGGCAGCCCACAGGCTGGGCAGAGGGAGGGCACAAAGACATAACCGTGGAGCCAAACTCCCTTTGGAGGCCTTAAATCAACTCCTCATGGAGCAAAAGGCACACCAGACCCATCCCCAGAGCACTCGCCATGAGCAGGTCTCAGCCAGGCCCCCTCTGTGCAGTGCAAACAGCCCTGCTTCCCTGCAGGTGGGCACAAGCAGGGTCTGGGAGTGAACCCCCTTGATGCTCAAGCCCCTTCTTTCTCAACTACTCGAGGCTGGGTCAGGAGCTCCTGAGACCAAGCTCGTGGCCATACAGCAACCAGCAGCTGCTGCTGCATCCTTCTGTGGAGTCATTTCATGGTGGAAGGCCAGCAGAGATGGGAGTCCAGCACCCAGAAAGATTTGGGAGTCCAGCACCCAGAAAGATTTGGTGGCCAGTGCCATGGGCACATTCAACATCCATCTGGTCCCCAGCTAGGACCTTCCTACAGTGGCCTTGACCATAGCTGGGTCCCTACAGTGGCTCACATGTCCAGGACAGTATCAGTGGCAGAGGGAGCCTGTCCTGGCTGTCGTGTATGTCCAATGTCCCCAGCACAGCTTCAGGAAACACATGCAGCTCCCCAGCACCTGCTGCTCACAGGGCATCCCCTGCCGCTGGAGAGTCACGGGCTGCGGCCAGACATGAAGGCAGCCCAAAACATCTCTTCTCCTCTCAAATGACAGCCTTAGGATGGACGGAGCTTAAGGAAGGAGAACAGTGATGGAGACGTGGCAAAGGGAAGCAAACATCCAGGGTGGAAGCCTCCCTCAGCATGGGGCCAGTGGCCACAGACCCAGACAGCCCAGCTCTACCTGGAAGAAGCTGTAAGGAAAGCAAGAGGAGGAGCAGATTTTAGGCTGTTTGGCAGCTCCAAGCTCTCAGTGCCAACCCTTCCCACGAAACAGTGTGACAGGCCCTTACCAAAGCCGGCACTCACCGCATGGGACATAGCAGTCACACTCGCAAACGTCACAGCGCAGGAACCAGCGGGCCCAGCCTGAGCGCTTGGTGACACAGGCTGAGATCTTGATGCAGCCACGGTTGAGGAAGGCTCCCAGGTGCTCCTGGGTGCTGCAAGATGAGGAGCACTTCCCAGTAATATCCCGCTCGCTGATCTCGATCCGACCTCGCAGGCAGATCCCTGCAGCAGCAGGGCCAGAGCATGTCACAGGGTGCCCACCCACCCTACAGCCCTCCTGCAGCAGGCTGGGGGAATAGATTGGGAACATGCCTGCAGCCCTCCCGCCTGCTCCGCATGCAGGCACAGTGCCCCCTTGGGCTCAGCATGACACCCAGCAGTACTCACGGAGGCAGGTGGGCTTGGGCGTCCAGCGGCCATCAGACTGGCAGGCGCCCAGCAGCAGGAAGCCAGGCCGGCAGGTTTACCGGACCACTGAGCCAACCCACCAGTCGTTGCCGTACACCACTGAGTTGAAGTCCGCTTCGGGTCGCCCGCAGTTCACTGGGGACAGGGAGGTTCCCGTTGGCGGTGGGGGGCTAGCACCCTGTGCAGCCTGCTTGGCAGAATGTCAGCCCAAGGGGATGTGCCCAGACAAGGTTGCAAGTCCTGGGCCAGGACCAGGGTGCTGGGCAGGCTCGGTGGGTGCCGCAGGCTGTGTCCTCTTGTGGCCCAAGGACTGGGCTGCTGGAGAGACTCCATGTGTGTGTGCGTGGCACAAAACCTCCCCTCCCCAGGCTGGCTGCAGCAGTCCCTGAGTCCCCCCGCAATGCC